AGAAACTATGCGGGACAGAAAAGCTTGGCAAAAAATATTCAACAGAATGAAGACTTAGGATCTACAACCAAGAATACTTTATCCACCAAAGCTATCATTTAGAGTTGAAGGACAGATAAAGAGCTTCCCAGACAAAAATAAGCTGAAGGAATTCATCAATATCAAGCCAGGTTTTACAAGAATTCTTGAAAGGATTTCTTTAAAAAGAAAAAACATGTATCAAAAACAGGAATAAAGAATGGTAACAAGTACATTTCTATCAATAAGTACCTTAAATGGAAAAGAATTAAGTGCTCCAACGAAAGGATGGAGTGGCTAAAAGGATAAGAAAACAAGACCCCTACATATGAAAAGGAAGAGAATGGAAAAAGATATTGCTGTGATGAACCTAGACAGTATTAAAGTCAGATAGAGAAAGATAAATACTATATGATTTCACTTATATGCAGAATTTAAGGCATAAAAAGAACAAACTAATCAAAAACAGACTCACAAATATAGTGGACAATTTGGTGATGCACAGAGGGGAGAGGGGTTTGGGTGGCTGGGAGAATGGGGTGAAGGGTTAAAGAAGTACAAATTAGTAGCCGATGGATGGTCACCAGGATGGGAAGCATGGCATAAGTAATGCAATTAGCATTAATATGTTGGCTAGGTGGAGGGTCAGGGGAGGGAGGGAGCAATTGGGGACATTGTTTTACGAACTCTATAGATGTCTAACCAATGTACTATATACTTGAAACTAATTAAAATAAATTTTAAAAAAAAATTTTGTAGTATCATTTTCCAGAGAGAAGATAGAAAGATAATGCCCCAGCAAGAATGAGTGAAACACACACACATATATTAATCTACATAGATATATAATACATACATATATAATAAATGTATTTTCTTTTGTGGGATGTATGAGACATGCGGCTTCACACAGAGACACACTTATTATCTGTAGAGCTGCTGTAAGTTTGTGCCCTACTGTGGTCAACAGAATAACGGTCCCCAGATATGTCTATGCCCTAATCTCCAGAACCAATGACCATGTTAGTTTACATAGTAAAGGGGAATTAAGGTTGCAGATGGAATTATTAAAATAGGGAAATTATCCTCAATTATCCGAGTGGGTTCAATATAATCGCAATGGTCCTTAAAAGTGGAAGAGGGATAGAGAAGAGAGAAAACCAGAGAGATGGCAGCATGAGAAGGACTTGGCTTGACACAGACGGAGGAAGAGGCCACAAGCCAAGGAGTATAGGCAGCCTCTAGAAGCTGGGACAGGCAAGGAAATGGATTTTTTTTTCCCCGTTAAGCCTCCAGGAAGGACTGCAGCCCTGCTGACACCATGAGTTTAGCCCTTGATTTGAGACCATTTTAAACTTCTGATCTCCAGATCAGAAGATAATAAATGTGTAATGTATAAGCCACTATGTTTGCGAAAATTTATTAAAGCAGTAATAGGAAACTAATACGCCTACGAACTCAGGAATTCTGATCAATTCCATTTCACATGATTACCATCAAAAAAGAAATACACACACACACACACACACACACACACACACACACACACACACACATGCATGTATTTGATGCATTCTCAAGTATGTTCCTTACTGGAGAGAGCTCTTATTTTGACAAGGCCTCCACAGAACCCAATCTTCCACTTAAAAATGTCCACATTCGATGACTGGCTTCCCACTCTATATTGTCAAACCTTCTGGGCCGAGCACCATAGGACACACTTATCTCATGCGTCGACCCCTGACCTTGTGTCTTCATGTCACAACCTTGGGTGAGTCATGCCAGGGGGAAGAGAGCTCCTTACCTAGGCTCACACTAAATGAATCCGTCACTCAGCTTTGCTTTAGATGGATTCTAAAACTACCCAGGCTCCTCCAGCACCCCCTGACCCAAGGGTGGGGGAAGGTGGTAAAGTCCGAGTGGGTCACAGTTAGCATCATCTACATTAGCGGATTTTACGATCACGCCTGACTGTGCGTGCACCGCGCTAGCATCAGGGACCTGTGCAATAGAAGGAGACCTGAGCCTTGAGCTTGTGGCAGATCCACGCTTGCTCCCATGAATTAACTCAAAGCAGAAACAGTGCTTGGGGCACAGAGAGCCTGGCGGAGTGACGGGGGCACGAGGTGGGCCGGGGAGCTGGGCCAGACCATGCAAGGCCTTATAGCTCAAAGCAGAGCCTTGAACCTATCCGGTCCACCAGGGGTCAGCAGGACAGTGTAAGGTGAGATCACCGCAGCTGCAGGGTGGTGAGCTGGCTGGAGGAGGAGGACCTGGACACTGGGAAGGTTACTGCAGGAGTCCTAGGAGCACCATGGAGGCTTGGAGGGGCTGAGGGTGACGATGGGAAGATTGGAGAACCACTTAGAAGGCAGCAGCCATGGACTTTGGGATAGGTTGGAGGCAGGGCTTGAGGAAAAGGCAATCAATGTCAGGGGTGACTCCAACCTTCTAGCTGAGAGACAGGAGGACTCAAAGGGGTGGGGGCTCCAGGAGCAGGAGCCGTGAGGGAGAAGAGGGGACCCTGTATGCCCAATCCCCTTTCCTGTCCCAGCCCACAGGACAGAGAAAGGAGTCTTGCCTCGCTTCCCTTGCAGCCAAATAACCATGTTGGGACGAGACTAAGAACATCCTGCCACACTATCGTGACACCAGGACCTCAGCCCAGGAGGCAGAGCAAAAAACTCACAGAAACAGAAACAGAGTTCCGTCCTTGTGGACAGTACTCTATCTCACAGCCTCTCAAGACCCACCATCCAAACGCAAGGCTTCCCCCCACCTCTCAAGCTCCCCTCTAGCCGCTGGGTCTCCATCCCCCGCACCCCAACTCCCAAGCCAAGG